ACATCAGCAATCCAATGTTGAACCTACAACTTTGGTGTTCTTGTATCGATATCCGTTTCCGCATGCAAACTTGTGGGTGGCTCTTTATAAAGCACGTGCATGTATACATTCTCCAGTATTCTTGGCGATCAAGACATAGTACTATATATAGGGTGATTCAGAAAAGGTAGAACAACCGTTAATAAAAGCTTCTAGAAGCAGTTGTATACATTGTATAGATTTCAATTTCCTAAGATTTGTAAAAATTTGCTGGAATTATTTAATACCATATATTGGAAATAATATTGATTTTATGTCAATTCATTGACTTGCTTATAGGTAGCTTCGTGATGATAATCATCATTATTATTAATAGAACTTGATATTTGATTTGATTAATTCAATTGACGTTGTATAAAAATAATCATACACATACATTACTCGTTTTATAGCCATCAATTCTCATAACTGTCAAATTTAACTTCAGTTTACAGTCATGTCAATTTATAGCAATTTGTCAGAAACTGGTCATTATATTTTGGAACAAAACACAATGGAAAAATTAGTGAAACACATCAGAAATTAAATGTGTAATATTAAAAACTGTACAGACGTTATCTAGAATAAGTAGTGAAACATCCACCTGGTTGATATATGTATCACATAATCATGTTGGATACTGAACATTGATAGCAGTTTCTAACTGTTAATTTTAAGCATTTACTCCCTCTGTCATTTTTACAGCTTTTTCAAAACCATGAAATAAATGTCTCTCAGAAGTAGATACTCCAGTATCTCCTATTAACGGTTGTTACTTTTTATCAGAATCATTCTGTATATATGAACCAATGTATTCCAATGTACATTTCTATGCCAAGGAAGGATCTGGTGGGTAGAATGGTTACGAAATGTATCCAGAATTATACAAAATCTTCTGCTATCAGGAATATGTTAGTGTAACTCTTGGTTGGAGTAAAAAGAAGCTAAAATGATGGTAGAGGAAGAGAAATGTGCTCTCGTTTACATTTTATGTGTATAATGATGAGCTGTATTATTCTACTAGCTTGGTGGTCACGTACTCACATATGGATTATGAATCCTTCTTGCTATCAGACATGAACAAACTCTTGGAGAATTTATGACATTGCTTAACTATGTATATACTTACACTTCTTGGTACAAAAGCTCAGATAAAAGAGTAGGAAACCAGGTAGTGGATTATCAAAACTCCCTTTTATCATGAATACCAACTTGAACCAACCGTGCATTCTCTTACAGATATTTGCAGCACTCTCTGCTCTTCAATATATGGACAAATTCTCTTGGAAAATCTCTCATACTAAGTCAATAGATTACAATTTTTCATTCCATTAAAATCAGTAGTACAAGTCAGTCGAAATGGTTAGAATACAATTTCACGAATAATTTCAACGCTAATTCAAATTTACATAAACTACAAGCCTGTTTAACATGAACTGGTTTAACTTTATTTATTTCCAACAACAATCATAAATTTGCTTGCGACTTTCTCAGTCGAAAATTCGAATACTTTAAACATTTAAATCAAAGCTGGGTATCATTTAAGGTATTTTGCAATCATGTGGGAATAAATCACAAAATTTTTAAATAAAGAAAATTATACTTTTGAAACAAGTAATCTAGAGTATAATTTATAATAAATTAACATTTTATTTTAATTAATAATTTTATATCATTAGAAATGAAATTTAATCATTTAAACGACAATGAATGAATGATGATGATGATGAACTTTTAGTTGATTCTATCAGAAAAAACAGGTAATTAAAATAAATGTTGGTCAGATTAAAAATGTTTTTTATTATTTAAGAAGGGCTTTCATTACTTATTGGTACTTATTTATGATGGATTAAGTTAATAATCATAAAAATAGATCATAAAGTATCCATTATCATATTATTTTTCATTCTAGTTAATAAATATTCTCAAACTTTGTTATTTTAAAATGCTACAACGTTAGTTTGATTAATTTAAATGAAATTTCCTTCAATGTTTTATCATTATTCATAGAAGTGCTTGTTTATTATAAGTTAATAAAGGAAATTTAATTAATTAAGAAAGCAGTCGTTTGATGTTAAACCAGCATTTAAAATGCGTAATTACAAGAATATTCTATTGAATTAAATGATGTTTTAATAATAATAATTATAAATTCGATTTTGAAATTATTGAAATCTCTATACAGCATGTGCATCTTTGTTATTATTCAATCATTTTTTTCAACAAAATTGCTTAATCATTTTAGCTTGGTATCATTTGATAAAATCATCATGCTTTTACTGAAATTTGAATATTATTTCAAAATAAACGTTATTTATAAAGCCAAAACTAAAAAGAGCATTCAGCTGTAGAAATAAATGGTACAAAAAACCTCTTTGTCACGCAACTGTAATTACTTTCCAGAAAAATTGATTTAATGTTTTCCTAATGCAGTTGACTTAATCGAGACCATTAACCAAAATTTAATTACCACATAAAAGTATCATCTAAAAATATTAGTTACTATATAAAAGCATTCCTCATGAAAACTCATCATATTAAATATGATTGATTCATAACTTAACAAATCTAAATCATAGGTTTGCTATAAATAAACTAACGTTTAACGCACAAGTTGTTCACGTAGTTGGCCATAACATAGATCTCTATAGAAGAACATATACCCAACACAATGACTAGACATATATAAAATAAAATGATCAAGGCAGTATTTACCTTGAGCATTGATCGCAAAGATAGACTTGGAAAGTCATTCTGAATGTACGAATAAGTCTCATAGATTGTTGGTGGACAGTATAGAAGAGTCACGAGAACATTCCCGCAAGATTCATGCGGCCCTTGAGGCTGTCGTTGTCGTTGGCTACATTACGTGAGGCTTTAAGCGAGTGCATGTGAGTTATCGGGGTCAAACTGGCTTGTTAGTTGCCAGTTCTTTTACTTGTGGTTTTCTCGTACAACTCGAGGCACAGATGAACCAACAAACGAGTAAGTAAGGGATGTAGGTGTATGGTGGAACTGGAGAGCTATGAGACCAAGTAGCCACGCGACACTGAATGTCCCCCTGATATACCTCTTCTTTAATTAGTTATCCAACCGTATGTACAAGCTCTTCCATCCAACCAAGCTTCATATTATTTATGCTTGATGGTTCGAAACGCGGAAGCTTCAATCATTGGCTATTATTATTGTCTTTAATTTTTTTTATTCTTCAAAAAAAAAAATGATATTCTCTCGTTGAAGAATAAAACACTGCAGTAGTTTCCATTCTTTTGATTAATAGCCGTGGTTTTAGAGCCATTAATTTTTTCTATTTGTTAGAAAGAACTTTGTAAAATGTCTCCAGTTGATTCTAGAGAGCTTCCAAACATACACTGTAATCAATCTTGAGAATTGTTTTACTTGAATGGTTGGAAATCAATTTGAACTTGAGTTTGTTAGGTGATGTTGTTACTTGAGACTTGTCACTTGGTGTATTATGCTAGTGGGTATACGGTTATGTGTATCAGCTGGTAGTGTCTATCTTGTTCATGAAAGCCGTAAAATCACTTCTCAGATACGACGCTTGGATGGAACGGAAAATGGAAGAGTTGGGACACGGAAATTGATGAGCATAGGAAGGGTAAGAGAGAGAGATAGACATGAACGAATCACATTTGCTGCACTGTCGGTTACTTGAAGAATCCAAGAACGGAAGCCGATGAAAGCGAGAAGTTTCAGACGCGTTCGTTCAGGTGAAACTTTCAAAGATATTCCACGGAAGAGACATGAGGAAATTCATTTTATTAGACGGTTGATAAATATAAATATCTAAGCCAATTTTATCGATTCAGAGCAAATGCTATGTTGTCAGAGGGAAGTAAATGAAACTTTATAAATACAAGTTTCTCTCTACACTTTTAAATAGTAATTAAAATAAATATTATATCATTAATTAATATTTTATTTTTTTTTCTTCTTTTTAATAAAACTTTTCTAATAATCACTAAAATGAATGAATAGATTTTTCGATCAAAAATTTAAATGATCAAACATTTGAGTTTTGCTTGGCAAAATATTTTTCTGCTAATAATAGCAAATTGATGAGAAAATGGAATTGTTTTAAAAAGTCAGGAGTTTTATGCAGCTAATGGAGATGACGATTTTTTTTGTTTTTAAAGTAGAGATGCTAGTCTTTTACTGAATTAAATATCTAAAAATGAAAAAATCTTAGAATTTTTTTTTCTAGTTTATTTATTTTTAATTTATGCATTTGGAAACAAAAATTTCTGAAGCTTTTACTGTAATTATTTTTATCAAATGTTCTTCAAATAGAATTGGTATATATTAAAAATTCATAAATGAAAGAAAAGTTGATAAAAGATAAAATGCAGCATTTTTCCATGTTCTCTATATCTAATTTTCTTTAGTAAGGAAATATTTTACTTGAACTTGGCAATTATTCACAAGCACTCGGGTAAATAAGAAACCATTAACATCAAAGTTTAAAACAGGAAAAAATTTTATTTCATAAATTGATTGGCTCCATAATTGCCCAGAAAATGATTCCTAATCGAACATCAAACTAAGACCTAAACTATAGACCAGAAATGGTCTACTCTTTGCAATGATACAAAAGTATCCTTCATACTATAGTGTAAATATAAGGTGGAAATCAGTCTCTATATAAGAAAAGTTATTCCAGATTCAAAATCTCCAAAAAGAGGTCGACTAAAAATCAGTTAATTCAAGAATTGCAGATTGGATATCAATGGTACAACATCTGTCTATATCAGATGATTCGTTTCTAAACTTCTAAAAAAGTAAATGACCCTAAAAAGTATCTAGGGATTATCAAACATCAAGACTTTATAGCTTCAAAGCCCATCAAGGGTTCAACATTTGATATTTACTTATATAGATTAATTTTCCATCAAAAACATTTATATCATTCAACATTTTATATTAAATAACAGCAAATGATCATTTCCACATTTTTGTTTCAGGGCTTGGACAATGTGAGCTCAGCAACATTGAGACCTTTCAACTCAGACATAAACACTCCAAGGATTGACAGCTATCGATTTTCAATGGCGAATCTCGAAGGTAAGCTTAATTACTTTTTCATCCACTGGTAATTAAATTTACCCTCAAATCTTATTGAAACATGACCAATTCTCTGATGACTTAAAAAACTATTTGGATTTATTTGAATGATGAGGCTACTGTGGATCCTCTTCGATAAAGACTCCCTTTTTTAGGATTGAACCGATACGATTAAAGTCCCAAAAAAAGCTATAGTGAGTTTGACCGATTTCGGGGGATTATTCAGCTTTTTTCGACCCTATTTGTGATTGGATCTGCCCTTAACTATTTGACTGTCCACTTTAGTCTAGGAGATTAATCCTGCGTTGTGTTGACTGATCATATCTCGAATCAGAAGAGGAAATTTCGTAGAGCTAATGGCAATCTGTAGCTTTTAGGAGTGACGATTTATAGAGGATATAAAATACTCTGACTATCCATAAAATATTTATTTCTTGATTTACTTGATTTTTGCCTTCATTAAAAGCCCATCCTTTATTTTTTATTTGATAAACCATTTTTCTTCCTCCATAAAAGATCACATTTCCAATGTTATTTTACGTGTTAGAACTACTTTAGCAGCAAGTCTCTAGTGCATTTCTGTATTCAGTCATGGCTTTTTACCCTCAATTTTTCCAATTCTCAACTCATATTTCGTTTACGTCTGATTCCGCATGGCTGAATTGAAGTCACAACACCATAGCCAATCGCCTAGAGGGATGGCGTCGATTGTGCACCGCGAACTTGTTATCTTACATCTTGCAGCACGGCCTCTTGACTCACCTACGTGTGTATTGTTGAACACGTATATTATTTATATAAAAAATACCGCAGCTTTCACGTCGTATCAGCGGATTTATGCGCAACCATGTTATATACAAGAGCCGGTGTATACTGTGAGACCGTCGATAATCCACCAGTATCCACCCTCTCTTCTTTATTCTCTCCTTCATTCCATGTTTTATTTTTATTAATACATGTTTTTGCGATTCCAACTTCCGATCGACGCCCGCTGACGCGCCACTTTAACGCGTGCCTCCACCTTTTTCTTTAGCTTCTTTCTTTATCCAACTTTTTTATGTGTTATGTATTTGCTTTCGGTTTCTTGATTCCTTGCGTATTTATCCAACGATTCAGTCTCTCTATCCGATAAAATCGTCTTCTGTACAACGTCGTGACTTCATCGACGTATCTTCTTTTCACTATTTTTATCAGTAAATCAATAATTAAACTTTCATTTGTTACTCTTGGTACTGTTCTTTTTTCTTCTTCTTCTCATTCCCATTATTATCATAGCATAGAGAAAATCAAGAGTTAGGTTTTTTCTATTTTGTTATATTTCAATTTAAAAAGTTTTTTAATAAAAACAAATAATATACATTGAAGTAGTTTTAACTTTTTCTGAGAAATGAATAACAAAATGAAGTAATAAAATAAAAACTTGTTAAAGTTGATTCTTTTGTTTATAAATAAGAATAGTGTTTTAGGAAGATAATTAAATGATTGGAAAATTTTATGGCGTGAAAAAGTTGAGTATTGAGTAAAAGAAATTTGTAGCAGCTTTGAATATTTCTACTTAAATAGACTTTTTTCCGCATTGTCAACACAAAAAAAGTATATTCATCAGATTTTATATAAAATTCTTCTGGAGTCTTATTTAATATCAAGATAACTACAATCACAAGTTTGATTTCTTTTGAAAAAAAAATTAACTTGTAATATATTCTGAGATTATTCAAATATATATTAATAAGAATCTGCTAGATTCTTTTTTTATTTTCAACGATTTTGAAAGGAGTTATAAAGACGACTGTCATCTAGCATCAATTATTTATTTTTCAACTTTATGAAAGTGATTAAATTTTTCTTGTAGTGTCGAATAATTCTACATTTTTATTATTTAAAAATATTTTCTACAAAGAATGTGAATAAATCAAGCTTAAGAAATTTTATTGTTGAATATGAAGTATAAAAAAAATTGTTATCAACTAAATTATCCATATTTTTGAACAGAAAATTTTTAAGATTGCAAGCTAAATCAGGCCTTGATTTACGTAGTAATAATTAAAAAAAAACAATACTTACTGAAATTGAATTAATAAAAATTATTAAATGTCATTGTAAAATCATTAATATCTTATAATTGATTACATTCTATTATTTTAACAATTTTTAATTCTTCATTTTATAAACGTAGCACAGTTAAATCATCGAAAACAGTATATTATGCTACTAGGGCCGAAAATGACGTTTTTATGCCCGCAACAATTGATCCGGGCGGGAATGTGATAATTTCTGCGTACATCACACATCCATACTATCTTTCATTATTCTACTGATCTGGAAAATCGATTTTGTAGTGTGTTTAATCACAGTAATAAGCATCATATACCTGACAATTACAACACAAGTAGCAATGCAACACGACGAAGTCGAGAGCCCCTTAAGGCGGAGTTTCGAGCTCAGAAGCCTTGATTCAACACAAGTTCATAATATAGAACAAACTTAGCACAAACGACTGTGTTTCAGCATCAATCATAACATCAAAGCACTTGAATCTATCGTAATAAGCTCTGATAAATTCATATAGCATTGCAGAGGGCAGCAATATAGCACTTTGATCTCCCAAAAGAAAATACCAAGTCAAATTGTTGGTTAAGTTACAGTAAATAGTATATTATTCTACAAGTGATCAAAAAGTGGTTTTTTTCTAGATGTAAAATTGTCACCAGAGCTGAAAATGAAATAAAAAAGGCTATCGCTTTGTTCTCTAACAATAGAGAAAAATGTTCATTTTTCAATGGAGATATAAAAAAAAAATTTGCCAACAGGTATTTCAATTATTAATCCAAAAAATCAAATATTTTATTGAGAAATCCGAGCCCAGAAAATATTCTTTTTTTTTTTAATAATATTCTGTGAACATCAAGCATTGCTTCTAATCCTAATTATAGTTTTAAAAGTTATAGCTTTTCTCACCCTCTATCAATCCTACAATAGCAATATAAAAAAGCTTCTCACTAAACATTTCCCTTAGCAAAAAAATATGAAATTTTTCTCCTATTTTTCACTCTATTCAGCATCATTTAATTCAGTTAAAAGTTAATAACATAAAGCATAAAAATAACTTCACCATTAGATCTCATCATCAGAAGCTTTTGGAAACAAAGGAAAAAAGAAAGGAAAAAAAACTCATCCACAGATGCTTCTCTATCCGGCATCGAGAAAAGTTTCCCAAGTTCTTCACGGATGCGTTAGTATAGAGCACACGCGTAACATATCCTCAAATCTGGAGGGATTCTGACGCCACCCGGTCCGACGTCGCCATCAGTGGTGTAAAGAAAACTTCCGTTAGGCAAAAACTTGGCGACGTCAGTGGATCCAAGCGACGTATTCGATTACATGGTTCACTCATGCTTTCCAGAACAAGGCATGTTACTCGTACACTACCTCCAGACTAGGCCTCTTCACTGAGATTTAATCAATCACACACTCTTTCTCTCTCATCTCACTGCATTGAATTAACTTACATCTTGAACTTCCTTGACTGCTTAGGCTCAAGAGTGCACGCCGCCGTGGGCATTTCTTAAGATAAGAACTGTAAGTTCCACGGCTTATTACCAGTTATTATAAGTTACGAGTGCTGAATGTTCATTTCTATAAAAAATTATTTTATCCTATAAAGAGTAATATAATCTTTCAAACTTCTCTACTTTGTTAGCAATGTATGCAAGAAATAAAAGCTTGGAACAAACAGTAAATTTTATGAAAGCAAGAAATTTTGCTTTAATTTTATACGAATAAAAATGGTAACTACTTTAGACCAAAATTTTTTTATTTCTTCTGCATTTAATTATACCATTATACTTCTGATACATAAAAGTCGTGGAATTCTTCCTAAAAAAAAAAACCAAGAAGCTTTGATAGCTAAAAAATGCTTCTTATGTCACCTAAAACTTCAAGTTTATTGAAATGATAAAAAAAAACTTCAACCATGACTGTCTTCAGACTCTTAACCCATTTTAAAACACTTCTTTCTTCAAAGAAAGGTACTGCTGATATGAATGAATAATGAGGAAAGAAAAATGACTTCTTGAGATGAAAATGAACTTGATAGTAACATGATAGATTCATGAAGAAGTTAAGGAATTCATTAGTAATGCTAGATCTTTATAAAGTTTGTCAAGTCAGCGACAGTTACATATATATACATATCTCATAACACTGATAAATTTATTATGAGCTTATATCAGTCGGTAATTAAATGGTAATATCACTAATTTTATCTAAAAGGATGCCACAGCCTATTAAAATACATTCTGTACAATTAATGATATCAATCGGATTAAATAATTCCATTCTGTACATTCCCACATGCCTTCCATAATATCATGGAATATGTACCCATCTATCAATAATAATTTTGACAAAATTCAATAAGCTTATTAGTGTATTTAAATTGGCTTTGTGCCAATATCAGTTCCAAACATCCTGGTTGATGATACGTCTAGAGTCCTTAATTTTACTTGAGGAATCAAGTTGACTTTAGAGCAAAAAAAAACTCATCTAAACTACTTTAGAGCAGCTTCCTGACAAGAAGTTAGTGTCGTGACTCTTTTATGATCCTGATATCGGATAACAAGCAGAGGCTTGGCAATGTATAGCACCAGCTCTCAACTCTACAGTATATAGCACACTAGAAACAAGAGCGAGGGATGTAGATATTGCAACGCGTGTACAGAGCTCACGCGCTTGCGTTGCACCATCGTTTGTTAAGCACTTTGTGTGGGAACTTGCTGATAACTTGGTACGACTAACGTTCCGTATCTTGCTTAGCATACGTCGCAAGTAATCGACCGATTATTCTATTCCTTTAGACTTACTACCGCTAGATTTCTTGATACTCTAAACTTTTATGATTTAATCGTCATCAACAACTTTATAGTATTCAATAAAATTATTTATTTGATACCTAATTGGATTATTTTTTCGTTGAGTTCATAATTAAATAAATACCAATT